CACAGATTCGGGCCTCACTTTGATTAATTCCCTTAGAAATCATCGGCCTGAAAGGGATGGAATATCTCAGGAATGCTGAGTTATGGGCAAGAGTCAGACATGAGACGGGGCTCGAACCCGCGTCTTCCGTTTACCGGGCTGTTGCAGTACGCTACCGGGGCCACTCTTACCCTCTGAGCTCAGTGACATTTTGTGCCACTGCCTATGATACAAAAGGGTCACAGGGCTCTCGTCAACCGTCATCCTGAGACGTTGAGCTGAGAGGGTAAGAGTGGCTCCGGCAGCGTCATGGATAACGCAGCCGCCAGATAAACTCAACATGGGGGGTTCTAGTCCCGTCCGAGGTCTGACTTTTGCCCAGAACTAAAAATTCTTGTGATAGTGTAAGCCAGTGTTGAATAGAGGGTAGCACTTAGGAAAGTAGGAAAACTGCAGAAAATTATAACAAATTCGGGTGAAATACCTGGCCATGTTCCGGATGATACTGCTGGGGATGCAGATTGAATCTAAAGTGGTAACCATTCAGAGATTATAGCGACGTCCGTTGATTTCCACAGTTTAAGTTCAAAATTCGACTAGTGTGAACACATCCGGACCAAGAATGAACATATATTCATCAAAATGAGGATAATTCGAGAAGATCGCATGGATTGTTCATAAAAAAACGACACTTCTTGTCCTAATATTGATTTCCTCAGTTTAGGTTAGGTTAAATGATTGAGGACAGGCTAACCTTGAATACGTCAGAAATCTTCTCCTTCATCATAGCGTTTTTGTCTAACAAGGGAATGGTTTGAACTTCCCATGGAACTTTGAATGGAGACCTAGGTACATCGATAGAGCCTCGAATGCTGATTACGAATATGCAGATTAAAAGTGCTACGGGGACCTCCCAGACGAGATCTGGGTGGTCAAAGTTTGAGTTCTGGCTCGTAAGCGCTGCTGATCGATGCCTCGGCAGTGCCACCGTGGCCTCGTGGTAATGGTCTCGCTTTCAAGTCAAACGCATGCGGGTTTGCATCCGGTTGGCGCGAAAATTTTTGCTTCGCTCCGTATAAGAGCTTCAACTCTAATTTTCGAAATTCTTCCGATTTACGGCCCAGCAGGGCAAGTAGATCAAGTACATCAAGTATACGACGTACTCGATCTAGTATGGATTTGGTCATATCTGCCCTCTCTGAACATATTACCCATCCGACAATTCAAAGTTTTCCCAGAATCGTTTTTTCGTCGAAGGATGTGATATTCGTGTTCAGGGGGTCGAAATCTCCCATGAACGAATTTCTCGCTAAAACTTTGAATTGTCGGATGGGTAATATGTTCAGAGAGGGCAGATATGACCAAATCCATACTAGATCGAGTACGTCGTATACTTGATGTACTTGATCTACTTGCCCTGCTGGGCCGTAAATTCGGAAGAATTTCGAAAATTAGAGTTGAAGCTCTTATACGGAGCGAAGCAAAAATTTCGCGCCAACCGGATGCAAACCCGCATGCGTTTGACTTGAAAGCGAGACCATTACCACGAGGCCACGGTGGCACTGCCGAAGCATCGATCAGCAGCGCTTACGAGCCAGAACTCAAACTTTGACCACCCAGATCTCGTCTGGGAGGTCCCCGTAGCACTTTTAATCTGCATATTCGTAATCAGCATTCGAGGCTCTATCGATGTACCTAGGTCTCCATTCAAAGTTCCAGGCACAACAGCACTTACAAGGGAAGTTCAAACCATTCCCTTGTAAGTGCTGTTGGAAGCGCTTTTTCACTAGGGCCATTCCATAGATCCCTGCTATAGGCATCAGCCGCAGACAAGAATACAGCAGCTTACGTCCATCTTTAGGTTGTCTATCCATTGCAATCTAGGTCGGCCTTCTGGATATTCACTGAAGAACTTGTCAGCTGGCTTGGTCTCACTAGGGAAGGTCGTCAGGTCGAAGTGGCCATTTGTAATGAGATGTAGCTCACTAGACGTGGTTTTGGACGCTGATCTCGAATCTGCCTTTGAAATTTGCAGAACGATTCTCTGAACGGAGTTATGGAAGCTGTTTTGTAGAATTAAAATGAAGGAAAACAGAGTCGAGCGCGGTTGCCGGCCAATTCGCAGGAATAGCCGGGAAGCACCATTACAACCAAAGGGGGCATGGTGTAGTGGTAATGGTCTCACTTCACGGGCATGCTATGAAGGGTTCGGATTTCTGGAAAGGTTTCGTTTTGCATTTTGTGAGGGAATGTCTCTTTTAAGTCTAGAAGACACTCGAACGCCAAATGGGTGCCATATTCGCGTGTTCAGTGAGCAGAACAACCCTTGGGGATAGGGTTCTAGCCAGATGTGAGGTTTTGACCTAACTTTGAGAAGTGCGATAGCAGTTGATCGAATAATGGTCACCAATAGTTCCAGGGCCAGTATCTTGTCGATTGCTTGTCTTTGGAAGATATCAGGAAAACTTGAGCAGTAACAGCATGAATGCGCAGAAGAATGGCAAAGCGAGTTTGGTGGGCCAGGAGAATGGTTATCTGCAGCCTGAATAGCGTTGTGGGACATCAACATGAACTAAGCCATGGATAGTTCAATTATGGCAGTCAGCTCAAAATGGCCAAAATTTTGTTAGAAACTCTTCCTGGCCGTGGTTCGCCCCGGTAAGAACACGAATATGGCACTCGCTCAGCGCGAAAACGCCTGCACTCCGCGCCAAGGGCACCTGTACATCCAAAATTCTCCTAGATCATAAGGCACTAAGCGTGCCAGTAAGCGAACACAAACTGTTTTTCAGGTAAGTCAAGGAGGGCACTAATGTAGTAGTGATGCCACAACCACTTTTTGCCACGTTTGCACAAGAAGCAAAAAAGTTAAGCTCAGCAGGGATCCGATCCACGACCTGTTGCGTGGTAAACGCGGTGGAAAAAGCTCCATAACTCCGTTCAGAATCGTTCTGCAAATTTCGAAGGCAGATTCGAGATCAGCGTCCAAAACCACGTCTAGTGAGCTACATCTCATTACAAATGGCCACTTCGACCTGACGACCTTCCCTAGTCAGAAGGCGAGACGCGGCAAGGAAGTTGGTAATCGGCTGGACTTTGATCTTAAGACGATCAGATTTATTTCGGATCCAGTCGAATGTGTGTGCCTCATACTCTATCCACAGCACTTCTCATCTCCATGACACCACAGGTTCTTGTCCTCGACAGTTGCTCCTCCATAAGTGGCCAGTGAACTTAAGACTGAAGTGTAGATCTTGTACATCAGGTGAAATGGCAGCCTCTTTTCTCAAAGAAGGCCAGTGACAGTTCTCCACATGTTCCATGCCGCGTTTGTTCAAGCAGTTGTGATAAATTTAGTATCCGCGACCGGCGTAGGTTTCGGGTGCGAGAACTTTGAGGTCATGGCCAGAGGCGTACCATCGATCTTAACTAGTCACATAACCGTGGTACTGAACATGTATTCCGTCTTTTTGATGTCAGCTCGAGTCCAGCGAGTTCCTTCTTCCGTCGATCAGCGAGCTGCTCCAACTTCTTCTTGGATGAGTCCATTGACAGCACGCCTCCGCATATCTTAACGTCAGAGGCAGCTTCTTCGTGATCTTCTTTGTCGCATAGTTTGAGCATAGAATGAATACCAGCTTAGGCCGCGTTCATAGCTTGCTTTCGTGAAGAAATGCAGAAAGTGCGGAAAGTGCAGAAGTGCGGAATCTGCAGAAAAGCAATAGATACTTATCGACTTGAAGAAATGCAGAAATGACGAAAAGCATTACATACGTATCGATTTGAAGAAATGCAGAAATGCCGAAAGTGAAGAAATGCGGAATCTGCAGAAATGCCGAAAGTGCGGAATGTGCAGAAAAGCAACCGATACGTATCGATTTTCCGCACTTTCGGCATTTCTGCAGATTCCGCACTTCTTCACTTTCGGCATTTCTGCATTTCTTCAAGTCGATAAGTATCTATTGCTTTTCTGCAGATTCCGCACTTCTGCACTTTCCGCACTTCTGCATTTTCCGCATTTCTGCATTTCTTCACGAACGCAAGCTATGAACGCGGCCTAAGGGAGGCTTTAGCGTGAGCCGAATCCCTTGTGTACCAGCGAACGGTAATTAAACTGTGGCGTGTCTCTGTGCAGGCACCGGATGTTACTGTGGCAATGCTTTAAGGCCAGGCTGATACTTTCAGCGACTCGGGTAGGCGTGGCCGCATGTTTCAACTTACCCTTAAGGCTTCTACGCTTCTGATGCCATATTTTCATCTCGACACAATTGCGTCGTGTCTCTGTCCAACGCAGAACAAGATGACAGTTGTCCCAGACTGGAATATTCCACTAGTAACCAGTTCCGTTACAGTGTTCGAATGCCCCGCCTACCCGATCTCAGGGATTTCGAGTATACATGCACTTCCAATACCTGCGGATGTCGAAGGACTCCACAAAAAACGACGAGGTACATAGTCGTAAGCTTTCTCCAAGATAGAATGTGTGACTTTTTTAGCCTTTCCAATCATGCGATGAGCAACGTAGATAGCGCCATTGATACAGTGTCCTCGTCGAGTCGAAACCTGCACTGAATCCAGCAGATGCTCAATGTTTTCCCCATGGTGGGTCTGGCTTTACTCGTTCGGATATCTTCAGAGTAAGGCATGTCGGACGAATAGGTCTGTAGTTGAAGCAACGGGCAATATCTCCTTTGTTCTTGTATATAGACACGGTGACACTCTTCGTACGGTCTGCAGGAATACTTCTTTCCTTCATGCACTCGTTGAAGAGAAGTGCTAGATAGGAGCGACATGCAGACTTCTGCCGAGATGTCGCCTGATCCGGTTACTTACTATATCATCTTTTTTCAATGGCTCGTTCGACCTCGTCCAGGGTGATTCGGGGAATGAACCCCTGGATTGTTGGTTCGTTCAAGATGAAAAAAATAATAGTAATAAAAATAAAATAATAATAAAATAAAGTGTGATAAATGATTAGTGAAAATACAAACATAATAAATTGGTGCGGAAGGGTAAAAACATAAAACAAAGCAAATATCAACCTGGGCGATCTTTGCAAAAAGTTCCGGAGGCCGTGCAGGAATAGGTGGAGGCGGACCTCTAAGTTCGGCCTTCTGAGGCTGCGGGGTAGTAAAGCTTGAGACGGTTGTAGAGGTCACTGAGATCGGATTTGAACGTTGTAGTATACCACCATTCGGTGAAGTTCCTGGAGAATTTTCTAATTTTTCGACAGACTACCGCTACTCTTTCTTCAAAATAATACTATTTAGATTGAAAACGACATAACAGAAAGGCAACATACCACTTCCATTCGATGGCAAATCTTTCTTGACAGGTCTGAACAACAGCGGATGAGTGGGATCGAAGGAACCTTCGGAATCATCTTGCACTGAGTCCTAAGAAATAAGGTAAAGTAAGCACTGCGAAAACGACTCCAACACATAAATAAAGGTTATTGCAGGCATTTTCTAGAACGAAAACGCTACTAAGCAGAAATTCACGTGATTACTTCATTATATTGTGCTCAGGACACGCCCTACGTTGAGGAATCGAAAGCGGGGGCTCGTACTCGGTCGCTGAAGAAAAAGCGAGGGAAAGCACTTGGTCTCTGAGAAAACTCTTTTCGCTAATTGATCTTTTCTGTTTCGCAGGAGCTATTCACATCGTTCAGCAAATACCATTGGGTGGGGAGCGGGTGGAGTGGCATTTGCTTTTAAGAGGATGCACGTTGCCAGAAGGTGTTTCCGGTTGTTGACTTTTCGCGCTTTTTTTCCGTTTCTTTGGTGCTATTCTACACTCCCCCCTTGCTTGATGGCAAAGTATTGGGGGAAAAGTAGTGAGCAAAAGTGGGGGATCTGGAAAAGTTGACAAGATAGTACGTATGATGGGGATGAGTGGGAAAGGAGGGGTCGCAGCAGAGGATGAAATTGGGGGCCGTATTTTCCGAAAATTCTCCTCAACGACAGAACGTGTCTTGATTATGTTGTAAGGTTTTGATAAGTAACTACTTCATCTTTTACTTGGCCATCAACCAGTGAAACACTTACTGTAATACCGACGCGCATTTGTCCTAGTTGTGCTTTCAGAGCTTCCTCCGGTTCTTTCGTTTCTGATATATCAGCCGAGTCGGACAATTCGCGAAGGGCTCGAGAATGAGCCTCTTGGCGAGCCTGTAATTATTCCGATGATATTCCCATGGACCCACTGATTTTTCCGCTTCCTAATAGCATAGCATTCGGCTAACAACATTCTCACCTCCTCTTCAAGGATTTCCTCGATTGACTTGTCCAAGGGATGATCTCCCATTACCCAGACCCATACTTCTCCATCTGCACCAGTCAACCACCTTCAAATTGAGTTATCACCTCAAGGCAGGTGAATAAAGAAATGCAATAGAGATACGTACTTTATTCCTTTTTTGCTAGTCTTTTTCGGCGCGCCCTCACGTTCCAGACGTTCCTCATTTGCTTGCCACTTGCGCACCTCAAAACATATGGTTTCGCATGATTATCACAAACATAAAGAATGAAACATCCGCCGGAAATATTAGTGTTGGCCGAAAATATAGCTAAACAGTGAATTGATCATCGTGACGGCCACCTGACCTCTTACTACCGGCAAAATCATTACAACTCAGCATAAGCGAATGTTTCAGTAATTTCTGCTTATCAAGCTCACATGCTGTTCATTACAGAGGACTTATAGATGTCTGTTAGAACGAGCGCTGAACGATCAATGGCAAACTGGCAACAAGAAAAGGATAAATTCAGGTTCAAAGCTTAGCGTCGACTGGTCTCTACTCGAAATGCGCCATGCATTACTTCTATTCAAAACTGCTGCGCCTCTTGAATGCGCGCTTGACCTTCTCCTTTGGTCTATGAGGCCACTGGATCTGAATGTTCAACATGTTTGTTGATACAAACAGTTCGGTACTTTTTTAATTTCACTGTCACACTGACTGTGAAGCCGCGAATGGCGGGCAGCATTCGATTGCGGGCAGGGTCACTTATGCAAAAGAG